TCATGAACCGGGGACCAACGGCTTTACTTCCCTTCCGAAGGAAGGCGTGATCAGAGATGTTATGCCTCAGAACATCCCGGCGGCGCCGACTGGGATTGAACCCAGGCCTGCTGGGGGTGAGAGGTAATCACGCTTACCACTACACCACCGGCACCGCTTAAGTGAAAACATTGATGAAATTTTGACTGAAACTAGCTGTTGTTATCGAGATGGAATCGGAGCTAGAGTAGATCCACCAAAAAGTCTTGTGCGCCGTCATGGAAAATCCGACTGCGTCCCACAGATGGATTGGGAAACACCTGGGAATCCATCATTCGGCGATTTCCCGGGTGTTGAAGTCATTTAAAGAGACCGAGACGATCCAGTGGCGGGCAGGCTGCGGCAGAAAACTAAAGACAGCTTACTAGGTGAAGACCAGGAAGATGTTGAGAGCGTCATGCGTCGGCCGAATCTATCTATCTGCGATGCGGCGAAGAAGGCGGATGTTTCCATCTGGTATGTCCAAAAAACGATGAAACTTTCCGGCATCCAAGGTCCGGAAGGCACCGAACCGAAATGACAAACAAAACACGGTGGCCAAAACCCACGCCAGGAAGTTGTACCAGGAGTGGCTGACGAAACCGAGGTGCGTCGTGACGCACGACGAGACTTGCATCAAGACGGACACAAAGCAGTTGCCAGGGCAGGAGGATTACGTTGTCACAACACGGTTGGCCGTTCTTGATGGGCTAAGGAAGAAGACGAATTCGCCAAAGAGTGCTTGGTTTGGCATGCCATCTGCGGGTACAATCAACGAGCAAATCTACCGGAACGAGTACCTCCAGAAGCGCCTCCTACGAGACGCTGTTTTGGTTGGATTTGGCATCCTGTCACTAGCACTGCCGGTGTTAGACTGGTAAAACTCACAGAACTTGATGGAACTTCACCCGATTGAGAAGTTTTAGCACCGACAAACCGACATTAATGATCATTAGACTGATGCAAAATTTGAAATTTTCGCTGCACAGTGTTCAAGCGGTTCCTATTTGGTTCCTGATTAGCCTACCAAAATTTGAACTCATTTAGTAAGAAACTGACTTGACACAAACCATTTGAAGTTTATATGGAAAAAACTATGGGAAAACCAAATTTTGTGTTCATATCTATCTTATGATTCACCCTATTACTCTGCTCTAAAAATAAATAACTGCACTTGTAGTAAATTTTCAAGGCTACAACTTTGTTCCGGACCATTTTTCGATAAAATGTAAGGATCAAAAGTTATTAATGATTCAAGTCACTATTGTCTTATGATTATGCTCAATTAACTGCTCAGCAGGCAACATTGGTGTTTCTGGCGCGTAGAATAGAGCTAAAACATCATGGCTACTATGTCACACTACAACAGTGTTGCCCACATTGTTTGATCATGCCATAAGATTATCAATCTCTTAAAAAATTAATAACTATTTAATATGATGTTTGGGTGAAAAACAATATTGCGCAAAGTTGTAGCTAAGAAAATTTTCCATAAGAATAACTATATAAATTTTCAACGATGCAATATGAAAGAAGAATAGAAGACTACGAAGAAAAAGTTTGGTTTCCCCATAGTAATTTCCATGTAAACTTCAAATGGTTTGTGTCCAGTCAGTTTCTTACCAAATCAGTTCAAACCTTGGGAGGCTAATCTAGACCCGATTTGGAATCGCTTGAGCACTGTGGAGCGAAAATGTCAAATTTTTCATCAGTCTAATGATGATTAACATCAGAAAGAAATTTCTGATCAAGGCACAAAACTTACATCTGCCGCCGTGTTCGCGAAAAATATGTATCCTAGCCACGAACATGCGTACAAAATTTATGAGTTGGTTCGTGTCTAAGCTATTGCGGACAAATTATTTTTATGTAGATAAAACATTTCTATGGTTTTGACAGATGGGATTGTTGCAAATTTGAATCGGCCGTTATGGGTTCTCGATCAAGAGTTAAGTTTAAGTTTCATGTCGGTTTGTCGATGGTTTGAGGCCATCAAGAAGGCAAGACTTCGTAAAACACCTAAGGTGTTGCAGAACGAGCTGGCTTTGACAGTGGGTAAAAGTATCAAAAGAAGTTGGCTTCACCATTGCCCAAAACCTTATGAGTGGTGTCAAGGGCAAGGTGCGGGTATTTAGTTATGGAGTGGAAATCCAATAAAGCAATAAAGAAACATAACCATAATGTTGTAGTTTATTACTTGAAAGTTTCTAGAAAATCCGACTTACAATGAATTTTTGGCGACCATTTTTGTGTGTCTCACTTTTTTCGAGTACAGTCTTTATAAGGATATTTTAACGTCTTTTAAGCCAATGAGTATACTTGTACACGGTCAATGAGAGTAACTCAAAATTGAGTCAAAGTTGACTCAAAATTGCATAGTTACTCAGTGAATGAGTAGATTTTTCCTCGATTTTACAGGAAAAATTTCTTGAATAGCTAATCTAAATTTAATTTTTTTTTTAACGAGTACCCCTTCAGATACGCACTGCAATGCAATTTTGAGTTGAATTTGACTCAGTTCAGGTAAATGCAGCAGTGTTGGCAAAATCATCAATCAAATAATATTTTTCCGCTCTCATACGGTCTCAATATCACGCGTGATATTGGAAAAAAATATCTTGCTTGATATTGCTTTTACAAGCTCCTTTGATATTGCGAGACTATTCACAACGCGCAAAAATCAAGCTGAGAGCTGACTCGACACAAACATGATTCCGTTCCATATCGTTTTCTTAGAAAGAGAAAGTATAGTTTGCTATCTCTTTTTAATCTTCACCGATGGCAGACGCGAAGGGACTGTTGCCAGCCGTTATGGAAGTTTCGGTTCCATTCGAATGTAAAGCAAAAATCATTAAACTCAATCTCACCACAGTTTGGTGAGATTTGCAGTTGGTGAGTTTTGTTAGCTTGATATTCCGAACTGCGATATCACAGCTTGTAAAATCAACTTCAGATGTTTGCTTGTTGATTTTTGTATACGAAAATAAAGTGATATCATGGTGCTTAGAACAGGTGACCCTCTATGGTAATCAGTTATTGAAAATACACATTATTTATCTTTATTTAAGTCGACATCTCGACTAGACAGAAGGTTGCTGTCAACACGACCCATTTCATAGTGCACAGCTCAGTTCTGAATACTCACACCAGGTGCCATGAGTATACTATTTGACTAATAATTACTTGCTTTAACTTGAAAGCTCAACTAGACAGATGGTTGCTGTTTTTGAAAAAGTTGATCACATTTATAAGACCTATTGTATGGTGACCAGTTTAATTGAAAATGTCTTCACCAGGCGGCAGTAGTGTGCGAAGTGACTTTCCACCTTGTCCGATTTGTTCAGATGCACCAATTCGGTCACCAGGGAACTAAGTGTTCTTTGGATATAATGATTCTTTAAGTAAACATTTTGATATGTTCTTCTTATTCTCCATAGGTATTACGTCCCAACTGGAACTTTGATATTGTCTTCTTCTTCTTCTTCTTCTTCTTCGCATTTCAAGTTTATTGTATATCGCATATCAGCTTATTGCGAGCTCTCAACTTAGTGTTCTAGATGCACTTCCACAGTTATTAATTGAGAGCTTTCGATGCCTGTACCATTTTTGCATTGGTATAATTGTGTGGCAAGTTCAATCATACTTCTTTGCCCAGGGAAGTCGAGAAATTTTCCCACCCGAAAAATTCCTAGACCAGACCGGGAATTGAACCCAGCCACCTCCAGCATGGTCTTGCTTTGTAGCTGCGTCTTTACCGGCTGAGCTAAGGGAGGCTTTTGTCTTCAACTTTTATTTCATCTGCTTCTTTGGGACTGCCGTTGTAACTTGGGAAATGGAGATTACACGAATGTAGCGTATTGGCTTGTACCATAATGTTCGAAAATTTAAATACAGCCCTATGCTTTGTGTAAACGAGGTAAGATAAGTTGAAACACACACAAATATATTATAGGGGTAATGTCGGCCTAAATGCCCCTAATTTGGGCTCATACATGAATTCAGCAATCGACTAAAATTTGAATGGGATCGGAACTAAATTTTGAAATATAGTATAGTGTACATAGTTTTTACCTTTTTACGATGTTTTCCCCCTTCCCCTCTCTTTTGTAGTCCGTCCGTTAGGTTCAATGACTATATGCCAGTTATTCGAAATATGTAACTGAATTTTGAATATGAACGATGGTTGTGTAAAATAAACTTTCCATAGGGGAAATGACGGCTTCGGCATGCCAGACTATTTTCGGCAACCCAAATTGAAACACTATTTTCACTGGATTTTCTTACGAAAACACTTCGCTGAATGCATGCAAACGATTCTTTATGCTTTCAGCTTCAATTTGACTATATTTTTACCACTGAGAAAAAGCAATCTAGCAAGGTTTTCTTGAAATGAAACACACGCACTACAAATTGTAGCTGATTTCGAATTGCCGATAATAGAACAGCAGATTTACATGCAGTTCAAATGGAACGGTTGCCGAAGAAAAACTGGTTGCCGACAATACTCGCTCTCACTAGAGAAGATTGGAGCTTTGTAAAAGCGTTTCAAAACAGTTTTTGACAATTCTTTCGACTGAAATTGTTAGAGCAGCTGGCAGCAATAGATTGTAAACAAACCAATACTGCATATGTGTGCGTTTCTTAGAGAAAAAGGCTATAGATAGAAGGTCGCTGCTTAGGTTGCCGAGAATACGTAAATTCCCCTAACTTAAATTATTAGTTGATTTCCATACCTGCCTGTTTTCAAATGAATCCGATAAAAGGCTGCTTTTTGATGAATAATTTTTAAGTGGCTTTTTACTAGTAAACCCGTTTACAAACCCTCTTCCTCTAAAAACTTTCCAAGGGATTTTTAGAAAAGAAACTTGGGAAAAGAATTTTCGAGATTTGCAGAAAAACCACGTTTGTGTATCACATAAGAGTAAAAACAGAGCCCCACCTGTAGTAGCTCTTGGTTCAAGTTCACCCACAACAACCGCCACTCAGTTCATATCAGTTCCGGTTGCGTTGTTGTACATGTGCTCGGGAAAGTTTATCTTCTAGGTGAACAACGATACGATGTACCAGCAAACACTGCCGTGAAATCAACTTGATGTGTGCTGACCCGGAATTTCAGCCTCAGTTCAAAAAATTACCTAACTCAAAATGGGCACAAAAATCAATGCTCTGCTGCTTTTGAGCAATTTTCTCCTAAACTGTGTCCAATCTCAATTTCCCAATGAATATTTCACATCCGTGGCCAACCTTGAATACCTGCTGGAAAGCGAAGAGATTATCCTTCAACGAATGAGCAAGTACATCAACTTAGCCGAGGAGAAAGTTAAGTTTTTAAAGAGACAGAAGGAAACGTTTACCAATGAGATCAAAGATGCTAAGAAAGACAAAATAAAATTTCTATCGAATCCAATCAACGCGTTCCTAATGACGAAACGCCTTGTTAAAGATTACGCCAAGGTTGATGCCCTGATGCAGATGGGGCTGGACGTCAAGTTGATTGATAATTCGACAATACTGCCAACTGATAGTGATTATCTTGGAATAGCAAACAGTTTGGCGGAAATGCAAGAACTCTATCAATTGGACACGGCTGATTTGGCTAGAGGAGAGATTCTCGGAAGCCCAATGAGAAAGGAGTTGAATTCTGATGAGTGCTACGCTATTGGATCTGCCATGAGTCACAGCGGTCAGTATAAGTATGGTGTTCTGTGGCTGAAAGAGGCTTTAAAGCGATGGAAGAATGAGGATTCGCCCGGTGTAAGTAAGGTTCAAATATTAGATTACGTAGCTTACAGTTTGACAGAGGACAACATGTACAAGGAAGCAACAGAGGTCAATAACGAGTTGTTGAAATTGGAATCAACCCATGAACGGGGTTTGGAACGAGTAGGAGTCCTCAAGCAGTGGTTGGAGCTTATCGAAAAGTACGGACCAAAGCCCGTACCAGGTCCAGTAGATCGTGGATTGTACCATGTACTGTGCCGTGGAGAATATGAAAGGCCGGTATCGCAGCTATCAATTTTACACTGCCGATGGGATTACGGTAAATCTTCTTTTACCAGAATTGCTCCATTTAAAATGGAAGAAGTAAGTTTGGATCCACACATTGTTATCTATTACGATGTAATATCTAGCAAAGAAATCGATAAACTTATTAAACTTGGTAGACCACAGATTCAAAGATCAATGGTTGGACAGGATGACAGTGTGAAGGAAGTATCCCGAACACGCACTAGTCAAAACTCTTGGTTGTATGATATTGATGACCCACTGATTGCGAAAATATCAAAAAGAACTGCCGATATAACTAGATTGAACATGAAAGGCTATGATGGTTTGCAACTGAACAACTATGGAATAGGAGGAAAATACGATCCGCACTTTGACTGGTCAGAACCGATCAAGGAATCGGAACCGGTATTTAAGAGTCTTGGTCTTGGGAATCGAATTGCAACGTTGATGTTTTACGTAAGAAATTGCTTAACGTGTGTGTCTGTTGTTGTACTATTTTAGTTATCGGTATTTCAGCTTAGCGATGTAGAGCTTGGTGGCGCAACGGTTTTTCCAAAAATTGGAGTTGGCGTATTTCCAAAGAAGGGGTCAGCCATTTTCTGGTACAACCTTCTTCACGATGGAACAGGTGACACACGAACACTTCACGGAGCCTGTCCTGTTTTGATCGGCTCGAAATGGGGTACGAGTATGATTGGCATTTAATTTATGAAACTTGAATGATTCCTATTTTTCTTCTAGTTGCAAACAAGTGGATACACGAGCATCACCAGGAATTTGCGAAACCGTGCGGACTTCATCAGCATCGATTAGACAATAAATCTGTTTGATGTGGACAGTTGGATTATTCATTTCATTTTCTTCATGATGCTCCAAAATGCTTCTCGATTTCGCGAGATGTACTTCTACCGTTCTTTTACGAATCGCCTTATAAAAGTGAGTGCGAGTGAGTGAGTTTTTCAAGAAGTGTGAAACGTGAGTGAAACATTGAGAACAATTGTCGGTACAGCTTACAACCGGAATAACTCACGGGCGATTTTACTCTCGTTCTGTACAGTAATCTTTCCATTTATGCAGTGAGTGGCAGACATGGAAAATAATTGGCATTCATTTCGTGCATTCATTTATTTTATTAGCCTCTAACTTTTTTCATCAACAGAATTCCGTAAAATGATATATACAGCTTTAGTAGGTTTTGATATTAACTACCGGTTTTGAGAATGACTCAACCTCAATCTGTAACTCTTATGCTGTACCGATAGTATATAGAATTAAAGACATTTACTCTAATGAAATAATCCTTTTCACTACTAGTTACCTTCGTTAAATATCCTATCGTACAACTAAGGTTTTAAAATTTGATTCAAAACGTCTTTAGGTCTGTGATCTATAGCCAGCCCCACAAACTATTTGACCTGTGTAAAAAAATCCCAATCGATAGATTTTTATTCACTCTAACTCGACAGTTTGATTACGACATAAAAGAAACAAATTGAAAATGAGAAATTGGTTCGGCAAGATGAAAGTTTGGTGATGTCTGTATGTGCGTCTGTGGACGCGTACAAATCTAGGCAAGCTTTCTCCGAGTTGAAACGCTAAAACGGCTCATCAGATTAATATGGTTGATATCTCATATGGCAGGTAAATTATGTTCTTTTTTTAAGTCGAAGGAAGGCATAATGTTCAATGTGATCGTTATCATTTAAAGAAGCAATCTTACGCACTTGCACTGTGTCTATATCAAGATTTGTAAACTTTCCAATGTATTTCAATAAAACCATTTGGATGTTATCCCTTTAAATTTCCACCTTCCTCCACACGTTATTTCTAAACAGTCCAATTCTGAGTAGGATCTATTCATTTCCGTTAGGTGTAGGGGTGCCCAAAATTGAGTACACAATGTTGGATCTGACAAGATAACAAATAAACATACAGGTCGAGGTTGTCCATTCGTTATCTTACCCTTGGGTCTTCTGGTATATTTTTAATTAACCACTTCATTCGAGCAGATAAAATGACGTTTACTACCACTCGAACTTTGAAATGAAACATTATTTTGAGATGTTTTCTTCTAGAACATCGAGAAAATTAGCCAAAATTTATGCGTTTCATAAAAAAATAGAAATTAGTTGGTCCAGTTTTGTGAAATCGCTGGTAGAAAGTCACGCCAAAACTGCTTGACAAAGTGGTCAATTGCAGGGCTCCCTATAATTTGATATCAATTTTTTGGATTCTAGTACATACAAAATAAAAATAAGTACTTGCGTCAATTTGTTTTTCTCAACTGCTTTTTTTTTAAACACAGATAAATAAACTAAATCGTATTGTGAATCCTCATACTTGCGATTTTTTTAATAGATGTGTTGATTTCAATATTCATCAATATTTCTTACTCTATAGTCATGATCCGTTACCAATGTAGTCTGGTTTAAAGCATCCCTCAATTAATGTTTTACTCCTTTTAATTTATCATTTAAATATTCTGATGATTATTTACACATTTAGGAAAACCAATTTCCCAAACAGTCGTTTTGCTTCCATCAGATCCTTGTTGCCCATTATTTGGATTTATTTAATGTTTTAAAACCTTGAAAGAACTAGATACGTCAATAATAAGTTTGTACAACTCATCTTCTTCTGGGTTCCAGTTCTGGCGTACTTGATATTATGAAATGCACAACCGAAGAAACCCTCTCAGAAACAATAAAAAGCTGGTGGTTTGTAAACCGAGCAACTTTGTCGAAGACCGTAGAGCTATAGAAAATATGCCCATGGTCACTCTACCGACCTTATTGCCCTAATGTTCTTCTGTAATCGAGAACGTATTGGTTTATTATGGATTCCACTATTATAGGAGCACTATCGCAACTATAGATGTAAAGGGGTCAACATATTGAGGATAATCAATGGTTTTCCGTCATTTTTGGGCTAATTTCATGTTTCAATTATGCAGTTTACTTTACTTTAAGGACGTTACATATGAAACATAAATTTATTTGGTTTCCAACCATCGTTCTGGCGTAAACCCCATACCGCAACTATAGATACACCACTATTACAGGAACACCTACTCCATTTGTATACAAAGGGTAATGGAAATCTCGTAAAAAAAAAAAAAAAATTGTCTTATTTTCGTTGCATGTACGAATGCATTTCGTACGATCGCACTTTTATATGTTAATGAAACAAACCCTCCAAAATATTGATGATGTTTAAAGCCATACTTATGCCAAAGGGTTCTGATGATTCAATTCACTTAGAAGACAGCCAGGCTCCATTCCCTTCCGTGATGAATGATTTTCCTACACCAGGTATAATGTTCGTCGTTTATTGTAATCCTATCTCCAACATCATTTTGGCGATTCAACCTTCATGGATGGCTGTCAAACCAATTTCAACTACCTAAGTCTCCCATACTATGCAGCATTCACGTCAACAGCAGCAACCAAAACCTTTCCAACACACAAAACGCTACACATCACCGCCATCAGCAACAGGAGCGACAACAATATCAACAGGTGCCTTAGAAGATATGAAAAGTAGCAGTTTGCTGGTCCGTACACGCAAACCAAAAATTTATTACGTTCAATGTTAGATGCATTTCCTATCATCCTCCGTAGCGAATACCACAGAGAATGATATAAGTTGGCCATGCAGACGATGCAATGATTGTTTATATATTTTTTATTCCATGTTCTGTCTACGCTTTCGACTATACCACAAAGCTTTTTATAAGCTATAGGCATGCTTGTTACTTATAACACTTGCATCGATTTTCTCCAATTTCCGTTCAGCATAAAAAGCATGCGATATCAAATTATCGTACAATGAGCGCTTTTTATTGGCTTTTAGCATATCCATCTTCCGAAGCATGGAGAGCACAGTGCAGAAAGCACAGGTCCGACAATCGCAACGTTCGTGGTTCGAGTCAGTCGGCACCTTTTTTTTAATGTTTTTGTCATATTAATTTCTCTCACTTATACACTCTACATTTTTCGGTCTCCAATTTTCTTTCATTGGACTGCAGCTCGGTATATCTCATACTTTGTTCATGTGGTTTCCAATAACATCCTGCGATGTTGAATCCTGCATAATTGTTAGCAAACCTCCGGTTGGGTGTATGAGTTAGGCGTAATATTAGCACTCTGCCAGATGAAAGGCAATGCGAATGTTTCGTACAATTATGAACCATATGTTTATAACTAATCCCATTTTTCCGAAACGACGTAAGAGAATGTACGACCAAATATCTTCAGTGCGGAATTACGATTATTGTGACCCTTACCAAAAGATTCCTGTGATCGTATAGCAGTTTGCGGCACGTCTTGTTCGTACGGATTGCACGGTAAGAATGAGAAAAAAATATTCCCCTAACAAAGTCGTTGCTAGACAGGGTGGTTTGAGCAACCAGAATAGCTGATTTCTACTTGGATGACACCCTCTCTCAATCCGCTATTTCGAGACGTTTTCCAAGTCTGATCGGCTTCCATCGGTTTGGTCAAGAGGTCCGCCAGTTGATCGTCCGTCTGCACGTATTCCACCTGCACACTTCCTTTTGAAATGAAATGTGCTCCCGGATAAAGTAATGCTTCACATCAATATTCTTCGACCGTTTGGATTCACAGTTTTTGGCAATCCCATTGCAGCCTTGGCTGTCATCATAGATTGTGACCGGTTCACGAGTCTTCAGTTTCTAGTCTTCTAGGATACCAGACAGCCTAACTGCTTCCGATACCGCCGAGCGATGTTCCAGCGATGTTGCTTCTTGATTGACCAGCTGACCAAGGTGACGAACACGAATTAAGCAAAGCCACTTACCCACTTACAGTCCTCGGTGTCAGAAGCCCAATCCGCATCCACGTAGCCCACCAATGGTTCTGCAAAATTCGGTTCGGCGATACTCCAAGCATTTGGTTTTTGTCCCCTTGATGTGCCGAACCACACGTTTAAAATTTTGCAATTTTTTTTTTTTTTTAACATTTTGAGAGAGTTTTAGCCGTTGGCTAATTCATCTCTATAAAATAGGAGGCCCCAGAGGGGGGTTCTGCCAGCAAATTTTGTTACGAAGTTGGCTTACAATTCACATGTACTCAAATAGAAGCAATTAAAACAGATTTCAGTAAAAAGACTAACAATACAGGCAACGAGAAGAAAAAAAAAACAATCTGTTACATCAAAGTTTTTTTTTTTTTTTTTTTTTTTAATAATTCGTTTATTTTTCCAGGCTCATTTGCTGTAGCTTTGCGGAGCCGATATTCATTGTTTAGATAACAAAATTACTTAAAACTAACGTTAGTAAAGCGGGGGCCGATTACTCGCGGCTATCTCGAGGTTAGGGGTAACAAATTGTAACAAATGGATGGCAGGGTAGGGATTGTGAACACAAGGTTTGGAGAGCAATGTGCTCTTGATCTCGAACTAGGCGACACTCTGATGAAAAAGACAAACATGGGGGTACACCGATGGGTAGCTAACAACTTGGGAGAACACAAGATGACACTAACTTCTAAATCCTCAAATCTATCCGTTTTAAAAACACATAAATTAAATTCAAATAGTCAAGGTCTCGGCTCGCCAAGACATCTCTAACGGGTATCGCGGGTTGTTTTCCTCGGGCCCTGAGGGATGTGGATAACTCAGATCTGGCAACACGGTGTAAGGTACACGACCAAACAACATGCTCGATATCGTGATAACCACTGCCACACGCACATAAATTGCTGCCTGAGAGCCCAATTGGATAGAAGTGCGAGTCTAACGAGCAGTGATTGGACATAAGCCTTGATATAACGCGTATAAAGTCGCGGCTCATGTCCAACCCTTTGAACCA